GGAGGCCGGAGGAGGAGAGAGAAGCCTTTTTTCCGATTTGAGAACAAAGCGGGAGAACTCACATAATTGGATTGGAGAGGCGTCGGGAGCCTATTTTAACCCTTCTATTAGGAATCATAATAGAATACTCTTAATTGTGTGGATAGAAAGAGAAATATCTGCAGCAATATAATAACGTATCGGGTCTGAATATGCCGGCCCATTAGGAATTCTTCAAGCTCTGGCGGATGGGACCAAATTACTTTTAAAGAGGTCCTACTTCCATCTAGAATAAGTCTTCCGCCAATTGTTAGTGAAGAAGACACATCTGATCCCGAATCCATCCATCTAGTGTAGTGGGCAGTTGGTGTGGTATAAAGAACTATATATCTAGATATATAGAAATGATTGATATATTCAAGATAATTACGTATTTAGAAAATAACCTCTTATTTCATCGTATTTTATCAGATCTGATATCTTAAAGAGCTTTTATATCCTAACCGTATTGATCTCGATTTTTCACCCTCAACAAGGTCTAGTGTGCCATTGGAGATGAGATGAAGGGACAAGGAAATAAAAAGAAAAGAAAAAGGGAGGGGGGAGGGATGAGATGAGATGAGATGACAACTAGTGAAAGTTATGTCAATAGTTTTAATCTACTAGATTTATTGATTGAGAGAAAAATACTGGATTGATATTTGATGATTTATTATTCTATACAAAAAAAACGAGCTGACATAGTCATCTACAATCGAACATGTATGCTATAATCAAGTCACACATGCTATAATCATATATCAGCAGACGAGTTATAAACAAGGGGTCATCTTGGTTAAAAATTATTGATTGTCTGTACATGTACTATATAGTTTGGTCATGATATGCTATTGATAATGATATCCTAACATCGAATATATGGTACCTTTAAGCAGAAGATAATTTTTTCAGCATGCCATTGGGTGGGTGTAAAATGTATACTCTCAGCATAAAACTGAATTGATCTACTTAAAATTTTACTTGTCCATGTTAGCCATTTTGCACATAGAAACTCTTTAAATGTATGACCGTGGCTGCTGATTTTATCTGAATTTTCCTATTCGTTTACACCTCGTTTGGTACATGAGAATAGAGTTAAATAAAAATGGAATGAAGATAAGAATGATACGTAATTGATATGGGAATAGAATGCTCTTTCTCATTCTCACGTTTAGGTGCGATTAAAGAATTGAGTGGGAATATCTTTAAGAAAGGTATATCTGAAATTTATTTTATTATTTTTATTCTCACTTAAATGAGAATATCAATTTCTTGATAACTCATCGGGAATAGCAATTTCCACGTTAAGTGAGAATTGATGAGATTTGATAATGACATTTCTAGCATTCAAAAATGCATCATGCTTCATAAGCATGAATGAGAAGTTAGAATTCCATTCAATTCCTATTCATTCTGACGTCCTAAACAAGGTGTTAATATATTATCCAAGTCAGGCGTGGCCTTATGGGTGTCCAACCGGGTCGGGCAAAAAGGGGTGCCCGGACCCGGGCCCGGTTGGACCGGACCGGGTCTAGGCCCGAGCCCAGGCCCGAGCAAACCGGGCATCGGGTCAGCCCGGTTGATTTCCTTTTTTTATTTAGTTTTCCCTCTAAAAAATAAAATGTCAAGATTAATTAAAAATAAAATATGCAAACTTTTGATAAAAAATCAATCATAATATTAAGCACTTTTTTATGCAATTTATAAATACAAATATCATAAAAAATAAAATGTAAAAAATAAATTCTTTGTTATTAAATCACAATTACAATTTTTTGGAATTTATTGCATCACAATAGATAAATACATCCCAACTAGGTTGGCACATGTTCATCTATATTACTATCATTTGCAACTATTTTCAAAATAAATTATTAAAAAAATTACAACTAAGAAATAAAGTTACATATTAATGAATAATTTGACTAATTTCTACTCTTTATCTCTATCTCCTATTGTCAACTCATTAAGTCTATATTCAATACTAGTCATCTGATCGATATCTTAAGTTCTTTTCTCAGACCTCCACCAATCTTCTAAGCACATTACCGCATGTATGGTAGATGAATCTAGCGATATTTTATGATCGTCGATCAAACGTCCTGATGTGCTGAATACGAATTCCGAAGCTACTATATAGAAACCTGCACTGTTAGTAAATCATGAGCCATGATGAAAAATATAGGATATGAAATTGTCTCATATACTCTCAACCATTGCAAAATATCAAAATCATTATTTTGAGTATAACTAAAGGTGCAGATAAATATTGTTGTTCAATTTTAAAAACTACCCTTGATGATGATCTAGATCCAGATCCTGATCTACGGCTACCAGTTAGTCTCGCTATCATTAATTGTCTATCAAAACTCTTACCTTTGCCCTGACTTGAACTCGTAGAAGTAGAAGCTGTGAGTTGATGTGTACTTACATTATATCTACATGTGTGCTCCTCATATAATAAGTGAAAATAATATTTAATAGTATTATATAAGTAAGAGCAATACAGTTTGACCATCATTAGTGTCTATTATTATGTTTTTATACAAATAATTTAACAATTTTTAAAGGCCAAGATCCTTCAAACATGGATCAATAAGAACCCCCAAACCAAAAATAATAAGAATTAGCCTAAAATACTTATTAAATTTACTTTTCATTTAAAAAATCATATTTTCAAAATAATTATTTATACGATAAGTACTAACATTTTTTGAATATTGCAAACTTGTAAAGCAGCTTGAATAATAGTTGGATAATAACAACTAGATAACAACATACTAGCATCATAAAATCCTTGTAACATCTCTTTTACACTATATATAATTGTCTATTTTTCATTAGTTATTACATATATATTACGAGAGCTAGAACTAGAAGCATAGAAAGCAATAAAATTATTTATAATTTCTTATACTTTATTGCTACATTTAACATTGTATAGGTGGAATTTCATCTATGATCAACATCTTTTGGAATTAACCTGAGTTTTAAATTTTTTCCTTTACAAAATTATTTCCATCTTTTAAGTCTTTGTTCATAAGCATTATGAGCGTAAGCTATAACCTTAACATTTTTCTATCACGGGTTTAATTTTATTAAATGCACTTTGAATAATTAAATTTAAAATATGATACATATATCTAATATAAAAAATATCACCATAATATAGAAATAGCAAAGATGATTTTATATGATATATAGCTATATTATTATTACTTGCATTTTCTATTGAAAGAGAAAATATTTTTTCAAAAATTTTTAATTTTGAAAGTTCTTCTATTATTAAATTTGCAATATTAATATCAGTGTGTGAATCTTCAAATGCAATAAAAAATATCTCTTTTAAACATTTGCTAACTATCATCAATCCAATGTGATGTGATACATAAATAACCAATTTATGCTCTAGATATCCAAATATCAAAAGTTAGAGAAAATTTACAATTTAAATATTAAAAATAAAAAATTATTTTTTGTTTGTTCCTCGTGATAATATTTCAAAATATGACATTGACAAGATTAACGAGAAAATTTTCTAAATGAGGGATAAAAACCATCTCTAATCATATCCTCAAATTCATCATTTTCTATAAATTTAAAAGAAATGTTTTTAAGAACAATAAACCTAATGACGCATTTACTGCCTTTAATTGCGTCATAGTTCCAAGAATCAAGGCTGTCGAAGATTGATAATTAGGAGAGTAGAGACTGATGGATGTCTCGAGGTTGCCGCTTGAGCTCTATCGTGTTTTAAAAAATGGCGTTTTGATGTGGTTAATACCGCTTTTATGATGAGTTTAGAAAATATGGTCATACAATGCACATTTAGCCTTCTGGACGAGAAGATTACCGTGTTGATCCTTGGTGACTTCTATCTTCTTGAAAAAATTCCACATATCAGATCTCAGCCTTTTAGGAGCTCTAAGTCTGGGATCATCGTCACCGGATTAAGAATCAACATTGGTAGGAGGAGTTGCGGTAGGTGTAGTAGAAGTAAGCCTCATTTTAATATCAGAAGTTGGAACTTGCCCTTCATAATTAGAGGAGGAAGCCATTTGATTGGAGAATTAGAAAGTAAAAGAGAGAATAAGAGAGTATTTCATAGTATAAGAGAGTATTAAAGAGAAATAGATGAGTTTTGGATGAGAAAAATAAATAAAATCCCTCTCTATTTATAGAGGCAGCCCTCTAGCCAAATGGCCAAACTACCCTCAAAATTTGGCTCTTTTACCGTTTTGGGGGATATTTTCGTCAAAAGACCAAAAATAGCCTATTTTGGTCAAACTAGACCGGGTCGGGTCTAGTCGGCCCGGTCCACCCGATCCAACGGTCACGTTTGTGAGTGTTTGGACATGGCCAACTTGGTCAACCTGGTCCAACGATCACATTTGTGACCGTTGGACAACGT